AAAGTGGTTGAGCTAAATCTCTTCAAATATTTCTTCTCCAGAAGAATCTTATCAGATGTATATCTGGTTCAGGATATTTGTTCTCTGCTTTGGAAAATAATAAAGTAATTAAAACTCTTCATCACTCTCATAATTAGAGCTCCAAGCCAATTTTACAGCTAGTTGATCAAAAGCTCACATAGAAGGGTCAGCATGTTTAAGCCTCGGCTACTTCAAGCATATTGTAAAACCATTAGCACAGATCTTCTTTCCTTGGCATGACCTCCATATGTCAGGCATATTGTCATTTCAGTTAAATCTCATCCTCATTAACCCAGGGCCATTAGGAGGTCTGGGAGGAGACCCAAGAAACCAGTTTCCTGCCTGCTGTGGGTGTTATACCTTGCTGTTCCTTTTTCTGTTACTTTTTTAGCTCTTGTTTTTATACATTTTTTTTTTTTCAAATTCCCCAACTTATCAAACAGAAATGGGTATCCCAATTTGGATTTTACATCAACAAATATTGTTTTATTGAAGATTTATTTATTCCTACCTTATCATTGCTGTCCTAAATAACAACTTCTACTGAAGAAGATATTACATGACTAAAAAAATCTGGAGTACTGTGGAAAATTAAATCTGTTGTTAATACAAGTAAAGGTTAAAGAGACCATGAATCTAAACAGAAAACTTGAAAATTGTTGTGTTGGGCCTACTGAAGATCTTTATGTCTTTAATCGGACTTCCTGAATTTATATCTCAAGAGTATTTTATAGCGCTGGCCCCATATGCCAGAGGTGGTGGGTTCAAACCCAGCCCCAGCCAAAAATTGACACTACTGTTGTGTGCACTTAGCACTCATGAGTCTAGTTTACATTTTAAAATCTCATCAAGTGGGTATTATTATTCCTATTGTAAAATAAATACTCTAATGTTCAGACTAATTTTTCCAAAGTTATACAGAGTAGTTGGACTAAACTGACCTAATATTAACTATTTTTAATACTGCTTCAAAGAAAAATAGGTAGTAGTTTCATAGCAGTTTGTTTTAACTTTATACCACTTAAGAACTTGGATCAGGTGGAAATTTTTTCTGTAATTATTTATTTATTCACTTATTTCAAAATATTATAGGGGTACAAACATTTTAGTTACATAAATCACTTCTTTTGTAATGCTCAAGTCAGGTCTATAAATGTTCATCACCCGGATAGTGTTCATTGTACTCATTAGGCAGGCAGGTGTTTGTCCAACCCCTTTCTCTCTCTCCCCACTTGATTTCCACTGAGTTTTACTTCTCTTTGTGCATGTGTGCTCATCAATTAGTTCCACTTTAATAGAGAGTATACGTGGTATTTGTTTTTCCATTCTTTAGATACTTCATCAGGGTAATTGTTTCCAGTTCCATCTAAATTGTTGCAAAAGGCATCCATTCATACTTTTTACGGCTGAGTAGTATTCCATGGTGTGTGTGTGTGTGTGTGTGTGTGTATGGAATAATATACATAGTGTGTGTGTGTATATATATATATATGGAATAATATATATATACACACACACGCCATGGAATGTATAGTATATATACACATGTATACACACACACATACACACATGGAATCCACACCATGGAAATATATATACATATATACATATATATATACACACACATACACACCATGGAATACATGGAGATATATATACATACATATGTGTATATATCACATTTTGTTAATCCAGCTCATTGATTGATATGCACTTGAGTTGACTTCACATCTTTGCAATTGTGCATTGTGTTGTAATAAATATTTGAGTACAGGTATCTTTTTATAAAATGTCTTTTCCCTTGGATAAATAAATACTCAGTAGGGAGGACGGCTGGATCAAATGGTAAGTCTACTTTGGGGAATCTCCATATGGTTTTCAGTAGATGTTATACTAACCTACCAACAGTGGATAAGCATTCCTTTCTCTCTCCATCCACATCCTCACCTACTGTTTATGGAACTTTTAAGGAAAGCCCTTCTACAGGGTAGAAGTTGATACGTCATTGTGGTTTCAATTTTCAGTTCTCTAATGATTAGTGATGTTAAACATTCTTTCATATATTTATTCCCTGTTTGTCTATCTTCTGTAGAAAACTTCTATTCATATCTTTTGCCCACTTTTTTCTTGAGGATTCACTTGAGTTCTTTGTAGATTCTGCCCTTGATTGAATGTATAGATTGCTAATATTTCTTCTCATGCTGTAGGTTTTCATTTGTTCTGTTGATTATTTCCTTAGCTATGAAGAAATGTTTTAATTTAATCAAATTCCATTTATTTATTGTTGTTGTTATAATTGCAATTAGGGTCTTAGTAATAATTCTTCTGTTAGGCCAAGAACTAGAAGTTTTTCCTGCCTTGTTTTCTATATTTTTTATGGTTTCATGCCTTACATTTAAATCTTTTATCCATGTTGAGTTAGTTTTTGTGAATGGTAAGAGATAGGGATCCTGTCTTATTTCTCTGCATGTGGCTATCCAATTTACTCAGCACTATTTATTAAATAAATCCCCCAGTGTATAGTGCTGTCAGTTTTGTCAAAGATGAGTTGGCTGCATGTGAATGGTTTTACATCTGGGTTCTCTGTTCTGCTCCACTGCTCTATGTCTCTATTTTTATGTCAATACCATACTGTTTGGATCACTATAGCTTTGTAATGATGTGGGAAGTCTGGTAATGTAATGCTTCCAGATTTGTTCTCTTTGCTTGGATTGCTTTGGCTATTTGAGCTCTTTTCTGATTCCTAATAAACATAGAATGACCTTTTTTATAGATATGTGAAATATGATGTGGGTATTTTGATAGATTATATTTAATCTGTAAATCACCTTGAGTAGTATGGACATATAAACAATGTTGATTCTACCACTCCATGAGCATGATGTGTTTTCCAATTTGCTTGTGTCATCTGCTATTTCTTTCTCCATTGTTTCATAGTTCTCTTTGTAGAAATTAGTGCTATGGTTAAGTATATTCCTAGATTTTTTATTTTCTTTGTAGCTATTGTGAATGCTACTGATTCTTTTATTTGACTGTCAGATTGACTGTTATAGGAATGTTTATAGGAATGTTACTGATCTGTGTTTATTGATGTTTACCCTGAGACTTTGCTGAACTTATCAATTCTAGGAATCTCTTGGTGGAGTCTTTGTGGTTTTCTAGATTTGTGATCATATCAGCAAAAAGCAATAATTTGACATATTCTTTCCCAGTTTGAATGTATTTTATTTCTTTCTGTTAATTGCTCTGGCTAGGACCTCCAGCACTATGTTGAATAAATGTGGAGATAGTAGTCCATCTCTTGCTCTAGTTCTTAGTATGAATGCTTTCAACTTTTCCCCCTTTCAGTGTGATATTGGCTATGAGTTTGTCATAAATGGCTTTTATA